CAGAAATTTTGAGTAGTTCGGAGAACTGGTACTAAAAATTCTGACTGGCCCACCTCCATCTATTCTCTGCCTCCCAAGTCCCAGCTGATCAGGAGGAAATGGGGATTTTGCAGTATCCTTCCCCTGCCAACCCACCAAGCCATGCCATGCCACACCACGCCATGCCATGCCATGCCATGCCATGCCCACCAAGCCACGCCCACAGAACTGGTAGTAAAATTTTTTGAAACCCACCACTGATCATAACAGTTTTCAGTACCTTCAGCAATTCACTTCTGTGGAAAAACTACAAAATAAAGAAGGAAAATCACTCTTTTAAACCTACAATAGGGTCATTCCCTGGGACCAGGAACTATGCTGAGAGTCATATCCATTTACCAATTGCTGTCTGTGCTGCTCAAATCTGCTCAAATACTTTCGCAATGTGACTACATGATCCTGAATGGAAGGTTTTCAAGTGTTGCTTTTATTGGACAAAAACTATGTGTGTTCTGCTTATGAATAAGAGAAACAAATAATATTCAAATAAGCCCAATGCAATAAGTGGCAAGGTAGGCTGAACCGAAGATATTTATGGCCATAGGGTAAAGGCATATTATTGACCCTTGAATCTGTTTTTTTTTTTTTAAAAGAGTGGGAGCTATTAACTATGCATGGTGATGTCTCCAGGTGAGATATCTATTACATGGTTGCCTGGGGTCCATTATTTATAAAGTCTGATGTCTTTGACAGATTCACATCATTTGCATATACCACTTTCATTCATGGCTTAATTCACATATAGAATTAAAATGTGAGATCCGTTGCCATAAAACATGATAATGCCAATAATTTGAATGGCTTTAAAAGAAGATTAGATCCATTCATGCTGGACGGTCTATCAGTGCCTCTATTTTAGCTGCAGTTTGGAGCAGTGTGCCTCACTGCCAGTTCAGGGGAACAATAGAGAGTAGAATATGATGTGAGTCCCTCAAAGACATCAGGTTGACCCCTGTGAGAAATAAAATGCTGGGTTAAGATGGGCCTTATCCTGATTCAGCAATACAATATTATTATGTTCATTTCTGGTAACCATCTAAAGGACAAGTGCCTTATGTTTTGCTTTTTGGAGAAAATTTATTTGGAAGCAAAAGTTCTGATTGATAATATAGAGACCTTAGTTTAGAAATATTGTGCATGTGTGTCTGAATACTTACCCTTTTCCTTTACCTTCTATGACTGCTTTTCTTCCCTTTTTTTCTTCCAAATTATTAGGGTAGAAAGGTTTGCAAAGTTACTCCTCCAATCAGTCTGTAGAAAACTGATTGGAGGAGCAACTTTGTATTTTACAGATTGTATTTCTGTATTTTACAGAAGAAAACTGAAGGGAAGATTACGAATGATTAGGCCTTGCAAAACATTAAAAAGAGGAGCTTTGCAAAGCATATGCCATTCTTCAACATTAAAGTATTTTTGGCTGTTGCAAGGCTGTCATAGTTGCTTCTGAGATTGTATCTAACTGCAGCTTCTCTAGTAGTCCCAGGAGAAATATTGTCTGTGACTACTACAGTATATCAATAAACTAATAAACTGGAGCCAGCCTTTAAAGCAGCCACATAAACTTGCAAAGGATGTGACTACTTTAATGCCTCAAGTGGTATAACAGTTTGGCTAAAATGCTTAGTGAACCACTGCTTTCAAATGTTTTAGTAAGGCATACAAATGATAGTACATCACTTACTGTTTTGCCCCAAGCATCCCTAGAGAAATTATGGTTTTCCTTAGCAATTTTTTCTTATTTAAAAATAGTGGAAGCCTGGACTTTTTTGTCTTTTATTTTCAAAACCAGGAACGTCTTCTGCTTTCTCTGCTTCCTGCTCACATAGCTATGGAAATGAAAGCTGAGATCATTCAAAGGTTACAAGGACCCAAAGCAGGCCAGCTGGAAAGTACAAACAACTTTCACAATTTGTATGTCAAAAGACACACCAATGTAAGGTATTGTTTGAAGCCAGTTCTTGGAACTGTTTTGATCATATCCTTTCGTAGGGCTCTGGGCCCCAATGGCTTGGGATCCCAATGGGAGAACAGCACAATGGAGGTGGTTGATCAAGTAACAGTTGATCCCACTTCCTTCCACTCCATCCCCACCCTCCCCACCTGTCCTTCAATTTTAATGTTTGATTTTAATTTATTTATGTTTTAATGTACTAAAATACATATGTAAAACATATTTTAATGACTGTAAGCCACCCAGTGTTACCCTATGATAAGATGGGTGGCCATTAAATTTTATGAATAAATAAATTGGCGGCGGCAGCACCAAAATTAGTATTTTCTTCATTAATGTAAAACTTAGAGAAATTGGCTCATTTTTTTCTATTTTTTCTCTGATACTAATGTAAAAGCATATAAACAAGATGGTTAAAATGTAACATTGTGAAAATGTACAGTAAAACTTCAACAAATTTATTTTTGGAAAAAACTGAATTTAGTTGGGGATATTGAATTAAAATGCACCCTGCAGGCTGAAATTATGGCTTATATAGTAGATACGGAATGTAAAAAGAATAAGTTAGCTGATGGTACAGCTTCAGTCAGTTTGATTAACTAACCCAAATTCAGCTGATTTTCAAGACAGCAAAGCTAGAATGTGTCTCTGTCACAAGGATATGGTGAGTTGTCATTAGAAATAAATGGAATAATCAGTTTTGCCCATATCAGCCACATTCCGAGCTCATAGTAGAAGGAATGGGGAAACAGTAGAATAGTGATTCTATATCATTAAACCTCTGCATTCTTGTGACATTTAGTGAATTTGAAAAGCTGGTATGATTTATGTCTGGCACAGTTATACACTGGATTGAAACTGCTGAAAAGTTGATAGTTTTGGAGGAAATTGGAGACATGCATCCTTCTCAACTCCTGTGTGAGGACTAGGAAACGGAAAGCTATCTTCTCAGCTCTGCAGCTGTTCCTTAATGTTCTGACCCAGGTCCCCAAACTTGACAAACCCTCTGAAGTTAATTCAAAGATTCCTTTATTAGGAGTGCCAGCAGTCCCAGCAAAAGTTTCTCTTTCACCACAGGCTAACAAGTCCATCAACTGGGAGATGAATAGTTGTCTGCCACATCTATTAATCTCCGCCCCCTGTTTTTTATCCTCAGAGCTAGGGTGGGGCTTCGCTAGCAGTGGTGGCTCTTCCTTCCCAAGAATCGGCCTACATATTTCCACTGCTCTCTTCTGCCTTCTGCACATCCGCGCGTCAGGCACTGGACCCAGCTGTTCCTCCTGTTCCTCAAGCCACCACCAGACTTGAGGGGCTGTTGACTCTCCATCTGAGGACTGATGGACTCCATCTCTGTCTCTCTCTCTCTCTCTCTGCCAGATCCATTCCCTCTTCCCCCTTGGAGCTCTCAGGCTGCCTTGATGCTGACTCTGACTCCCGCAACTCCTCCTCCTCTGATTTGGCCTGTGGCCGAGAGGCCACAACACTGAATAGCCTTCCAGCAGCTACCTTTTAGGAACCAAGGAAACAAAACGGGCAAAACTGAGATGAGTTTTGTCAGTTGCCTCCAAATTTGCAAAACGGCAGGCTATTGACTCATTCCACACCCATTCCACTCCAATTTCTCTTTATAGCTAGGTGGCAGGGGTGAAATCCAGCACGTTCTGACAGGTGCTGGAGAACCGGTAGCGGAAATTTTGAGCAGTTCAGAGAACCGGCAAATACCACCTCTGGCTGGCCCCAGAGTGGGGTGGGAATGGAGATTTTACAATATCCTCCCCCCAGGAGTGGTAAGGGAATGGGGATTTTGCAGTATCCTTCCCCTGCCATGTCCACCAAGCCACACCCAGAAACAGTAGTAAAAAAAATTGGATTTCACCACTGCTAGGTGGCCATTCTTTGTTGTAGTCTGGCAGTTATTCAGATTTTTGCAGTCCTGATTGGTAGGTCTACATTAGCATGAAATAGGGATGAGAAGATTTTTGCTACTGTAGGATCTGTAACACCTAAGGTGGGATTGTGCTTTTTGCCCCTTGCTCTTAACATTAAAATAAAAACAACCATCAGTCCCCTTCAAACTACTACTGAGGTTTCGGAAAATGGAAGCAGTGACTATATCTGCAGGAGTACCATTAGAGGTGCCAGGGAAGGGAGACTTTAGCTGGCCTAGTTCTAGATGAAGCCTGATGAATGCTGGAGGCCTGCCAGAATAGTTTTCGACGTCTGGGATAAAATCACCACACACAGGACCAATCCACTAAAAATAGCTGTGTAAAATTGGCTCTTTGTAAATCCTTTGCAAAAAATTCTTGGTGGCCAAGTGTGTTTGTTTCTGATAAGGTATTTGGAACATTCCCCATTCCTGGTTCTTTTAAATGAATGTTAACATAAAATATTGTTTTTTACTTGAAAAAAATCAACAATGCTAAATTCTTTTATGTGCAGCATTTTATATGCCGATATTGTGGGATTTACTCGCTTGGCTAGTGATTGCTCCCCTGGAGAACTGGTGCATATGCTGAATGAACTCTTTGGCAAGTTTGATCAAATTGCAAAAGTAAGTATATATCAAAGTTTTGTTTGTGGCTAATACTATAATGTTGCCACTGTATTTTTATAACCATAATAGGTAACAATGGCATGAGGAAAATGTAGCCTTTCCTAGATTCTGCTTTTTCACAGCCTCCAAAAATGCTTTTCTAAAAATATAGTTGTCCCTTTTGCAATAGTTGCTTTTGTCACATCCTGGCATAAGGAAGGAGAAAATAAATTACTTTGAAACACTTTCAGTTAACAAAAATGAGGACAAAACAGTATAAAATTTTGGAAATAATAAAAAATACAATTTATGCATTAAATGCAGTAATGTTTTATCAGGGGACCTGGAAGAAAAACCCTTTGTTCTGTTAGACGTTTCTTCACTTTGAACTGTTCATTATTTATATGCAGGTATATATTGGTGTTGCAAGGCAATGTTTTTGAGTCTTAGAAATATTACTCATTACTCTAAGGCTCAGTTTGTTGAATAACAACAATAGTTTTAATAACCTTTGTCATCCTGATTGAGTCACAGTAGATGAAGCATATGTTCCAAAGTTTGCTTTCTCTTCTTTGACTGGCCTACTCTGCCACTCTTCTGTAAAGACTGACAGCCAAATTATTCATTTAAATTCTATCAAAATTTAGGTTTTGCCGTTTAAAGTTGCTTTGCAAAAAACCAAGTATCTTAGAGGAATTGGTGCATCCTTGACGTCTCCTTGTCTTGGCATAGGGAATTTGTCATGACACAGCAGTTAGATGTGCACATGCATTGCCACATCAGCTGATTGTTGAATAGTGAATTCAGAACATGACCTGGTTTGCTTCCCTGGTTTCCTTGTTATGGAGAATAGCAGAATAAGAAGAACTTTGGCGAATAAGCTGTCTTTTAGGCATCTCCCCAAACATTACTGAATGTGTCAAGGATCCCTAGAGGAGCAATGAAATTTTGAATGAATTCAAGTAATGCTCAGATTTCATTTAAAGGACCAATTTTATCCCATAAAAGAGATTAGTAATGTAACAATATAGTATTATAGCTTGGAAAGTGTCGGTATTCCTGCAAGTGCTCAAATAGAGATGGTAACAAATATTCTGAGTTAAAATTTCAAGTCTATTCCCAAAAGACCTGTCTAATTTGGTGCCATTAAGAAGGAGTATTGGCTTTGGAGTTTGGAGACAACATTGTTTGAGCATGCTTCTGATTTCATAACTCAGGAAAAGTAGGTCACTGGAAATGGGGAAGCACAGAGCCCTGGAGTTTATTTCAGCTATGAACATTCTGGCCCAGTCATCTCCGTATTTTTAGATGGAATACAATTGATACAATCAGGTGCATCAGGTTCTGCAGCTTTGCTGATAAGCTTTATGTTGCTGCCTTGACTGTCTCCTAACTGATTCCTTCACCCCTGTCCCCCCCCCCCCCTTTTTTTTTTTTTTTTTTTTTAAGGAAAATGAATGTATGAGAATTAAAATCTTAGGAGACTGTTACTACTGTGTGTCTGGACTTCCAATATCACTACAAAATCATGCGAAGAATTGTGTGAAAATGGGACTGGATATGTGTGAAGCTATAAAGTGAGTAAATATGTTACATATATATTTAAAATATATAAAATATTCCTTTCTTTCATAATTATGAAACAAAACTTAATAGGAAAAGTTTACTCTATGTCTCTTTCCCAAATTCTAATTTTTTAGCTCAATATTTTAAACTTAAATCTGATTGGGTGGCTTGAATTTTTTGGTCCTGAAATTATGGCAGTGAAGGATATTAAAGTTTATTTATTTCATTCAAACATGGAAAGAACTCCTAAGGTTACCGAAAGTATAAGTTTTAAAATATAAACATTAAAACATTACAATGCAGCATAATTTAGACTAGGAGAATGTAAGTCTTTTAAAAACTAAAAAAAAATTATTTATTTAGAATTATACAGAGTGAACAAAAGCAAACCCTAATATCTGGAGGCACATTTATTTGATGTGGAATATGGAAAAAAGTCTTGGCATGAAAGTGTTCTGCAAAAAAAGCTTAGTATAAATTTGGCTACATTCAGTGTAGTGGGAATGATCACACTTCTTTGAAATATGTAGAGTTCACCAGTAATAAAAAATTTCCACAACTATAGGAAGCTCTCCATGGTAGACAATTTCCCCCTGCATATGGAGGGCAGCATAAGAGGATGGATCGCCCTGCCCTCTGTCAATACGCCTATTTATTTATTTGTTGTTTATTATTTATTTATTAATTATTTTTTTATGCTTCTCATCTCCCCTGCAAGGTGCATCTGGACTGCTAGAAGCCTCTGAAGAGTGCTTGTCAGTCGCATTCTGAATGACACGTGGCTAATAAAACAGCTTCTTAAATGAATATGTGATATAAAACTGAAAAAAATGCTCATTCTCTGCCGAGGAGATAAGCTTTGAAGACCACCTGTGTCTCTGAAGTTATTTCTGTTTAACTTCATGAAGAAATTCACAGTCTTAATTACAGCTTTTAACAATTGCTAGGTGCCCACTACATAGCCATCAGCAAAGCTCAGACTATCAGATGTCCCATTAAGCATGTTACCCATTTCAAATGTTTGTTGTGCAATCAACAGTTTTGCCTTAACTCTGTGGATTAGGTGTAAAGTTAATTTGTGCTAATGTGCAAGTTAAATGCAATGCTGCTGCTTTTCCACAGACATTTAATTCCCTCATTTCCTCCTTTGTATTTTAAAAGGTAACCATCATGAACTTTCTGAAATTAATTCCTATTGAGAAAATGATCTTGGTACTACTGAAGAAGCAGTTAGAAATTATCAATGCAATCTAGTCTTAATGTTCAAGTTATTGAGAATAGCTGCTCAGAATAATGAAATATAGGTAGGGATTCACGAAAAACAATGGGACAGAGAAGGGGATTTTTTTCCCTTTCAATTTTTCCCTGCAGATTTATCATTTGGCAGGCAAACTCATCTGAGTTGGGGGTGGGAGAGGAGTGCCTGCTCTCTAAGGTGAGTATTGCTTATTTCCTTTTTTAGTCCGAGGAAATGGAGGGGAGGCTCAGTGGTGGGTTTCAATTTAGTTTGCTACTGGTTCACTCGTGTGTGCGCGTGCAATGCTTCTGCGCATGCACAGAAGCATCCAGGTGGGTGGGCAGAGCCTCCCGCTGCTGCTGATCTGGGCGAACCGGTAGCAACCCACCATTAGGGAAGCTCCTATAAAATGGTAGAATGTATTTTAAACAGTAACTGTGGATATGCAGAAAATGAAACTCCTAGTTCAGTGCTGATTCTCTCCTGTTAGGGCTGGAGGAACAAACCTCTCTGGAATCTCGGAGAACTGCTGCTATTCATTCAAAATCCAAATGCTTTTTTTCCATAGTGCCAAACAAACTAACACAAAAGAATGGCTTTTTCAAAAAGCAGGTCATAAGAAAAAGGAAATCAAATCTTAATCAAGGTGTTTATCCATGAAGCTCCTTTTTCAATTTTAATTAGTTTTTTCAATTGCAGGCTTAATTCTTTAGTTAACTGGTAGGTCCTGTATAGTTCGCTATTCCTGTTCACTCCTAAGCCTGAACTGATCTGATAAGTGACATTTAGGGAGGGAATCGGAGCACAGGAACCAAGGTTCAAGCAACTAATTTATTGCAGATTAAACAATAGTTTGGAGTTTTCATATTTTGACCTACACTCCAGGGATGGGTTCTAAATTTTTTTACTACCGGTTCTGTGGGCGTGGCTTATTTTGTGGGTGTGGCTTGGAGGTCATGTGACTAGGTGGGCATGGCTAGTTGGTCAGAGTCATTTCTGGAAGATCCTTGCACTTACGACCAGTCCTCGCACTTACGACCCGACTAATTTGTTTGCTTTAACACTGATCAGCTGTAGGACGGCCCTTTGAAGCCCCGCGGCAAGAGTTTAAACAGTTTTTTTCCCTCTAGTCATCAGCTGGGACTCAGGAGGCAGCAATAGATTGGGGGTGGGACCAAATAAAAGGTAAGATTAACCTGGCTAGAAGAAAAACACACATAAACCCTACGAAGAAGTAAGAAAATTGATACTGTGCCTTTACAGGGAGGATATGGGTGTGGCCTACTGATGACAGCTAACGAGCTAGAAATGGATCTATTTAGGTCTCCCACCTAGCAGTTAGAGCTTGCTAGGTGTTAGAAAGGAAAAAAGCCCAGAACCGAGTAGATGTGATTCTACTGAGCTGGAGCTACAAAAAAACCTTGGCTACGTAGGGAAAACCTGGCTAGAAGAAACACACACACACACACACACACACACACACACACACACACACACAACACACACACACATATATATATATATATATATATATATATATATATATATATATATATATATTATTATTATTATTATTATTATTATTATTATATTTCTATGCCGCCCACTCTCTGAGGACTCTGGGCGACTTACACCAAAGACAGTATACTAAATAGCATATTGCCCCCAACAATCTGGGTCCTCATTTTACCCACCTCGGAAGGATGGAAGGCTGAATCAACCTTGAGCTGGTGAGATTTGATCCGCTGATCTGCTGAACTAGCAGTCAGCTGAAGTAGCTGCAGTACTGCACCCTAACCACTGTGCCACCTCGGCTCTATATATATCTTTAAATGTTTATATTAATCAGAGAAACATTAAATCAGCACTTAAAATGGCTAAAATAGTTTCATTATTTCAAATAGTTTGCAAATGCATATCTATTAAAATTTCTAGAGTTGCCTATCACAAATTGTATGGTATTGGTTTGACTTTTGAAAGACTAATGTTGAACTTCTTCCATGTATTGTTTCTCAATAATAGGAAGGTGAGAGATGCAACTGGAGTTGATATTAATATGAGAGTGGGAGTACACTCTGGGAATGTCCTTTGTGGTGTGATTGGACTGCAAAAATGGCAATATGATGTGTGGTCACATGATGTAACACTGGCCAATCATATGGAAGCTGGAGGAATTCCTGGGTAAGATCATTATCTAATTTATATGTATTTTGATATATTTCATATATAGAGAATAAACCTGGTGGTAATTTCAGATTGTTATGGTGTTACTTGGTCATAAAACAGGACACTATACAATTATGTTGATGCTTGCACATATTTATCAATCCAAAAATACTACTCACCCAGTGTATTGCAAATTGAACTACTGCAAATACAGATTTCTTCCATTTATTGAAATTGAATAGTGTTTGAAGGTACTGTATGCTGTTCTATGTATGCATGGCAGATCCAAGACTTTGAAGCTACATTCAAATATTAAGATTTAATGTTCTGTTAAATAGAGAAACTATTGTTTATTGGTGTCTCAATCGCCACAATTTATCAAGTTCAGCAAGCATTTATAATATTAAAAATCATGTTTTCTGAAATATAGATTAAAAGTGGGCTTGACTTTCATTAAAACAGTCAGCTTGGGTCTGAGAGTCAAATTACAAATGGAGGAATCACATTCTTACCAAATTAAAATGATATACATGAGGAAGGTTTCTGAGTCTTTTCCTTAACAAGCCAGCATTGTATGTCCCATAAGGAATCCACTCAAATGCTTCCACCACTGACACATAGAGTGGCATGCCTTAGTTACAGTCTCATCATTGGAATCAAATCTCAGTTTGAATTATTTACTATATTTCCATTACTTATTACTCATTCCTTATGTAGTTATGTATCTAAATCTTGAGGAAATAATTCTCAGCTATAACTAAAAGGAAAATAAATGCTACTTTCTTAATGTTGTATAATGGTCACTTTAAAATAAACCATAATTTCAGCCGTGTTCACATTACTTCAGTCACCTTGGCACACTTGAATGGAGCGTACAAAGTGGAAGAAGGGGATGGTGATGCAAGGGATCCATACCTCAACGAACATAATGTGAAAACCTTCTTTATAATCAATCCTAAGGTAAATAGCATTGTTTTTCTTCATACATTGTTTTTCTTCATACTATAACGAAGTGTGTATGTTTGATAACCTACAAGCAGTCAGTGACAAAGATTTGATTGGAATGGTTCTGAAAAGTGGGGAATTAATACGGAAAAATATTGAATAGGACACTGGGCTAAAAAGTCAGTTTTCTAGGAAAGTGGTCAATGCTGATTTCACCCTTTTGTCTCTTTTGTACTTATTTTCAAATTAGGAAGAAAAACGAAGCCCACAACACCATTTCCGACCCCGAAATACCCTAGAAGGAGCTAAAATGAGAGCCTCTGTTCGTATGACTAGATACTTGGAATCTTGGGGAGCAGCTAAGCCATTTGCTCATTTGCACCATCGGGACAGTATGATTACTGAAAATGGCAAGATCAGCACCATGGTATCAGCTTTTGTATATTTCTAAATAGCTAAAATATCTTTTTTTGGAATGGAACTAATTAGCCTGATTTTTTGGGACCCACCTAAGAATAATCCAGCAGCCTTTTTAGCATTGTTATCCGTCAATAAACTTCAGAATTGGGCATTGTTTCTTCAGATAATATTACAATCCTGAAATAATGCTATATACTAACGGCAGAAAATTGGGTGGAGAACTGCCATTGTTAAATATATTAGAATTACAATGAATAAATAATTGACTAAATAGTGCCTAAGCCTGCAGAGGCCATGTTTCTGTAAAGCATTTGATTCCTGTGTTAGTGCTTTTCTAGCTGTCATAGACTTACCTTATTTCTACTTCTTTTTCTTCTACTACTTACTTCTACTTATGCAGAAAATTTAAAAACCACTACATGTAGTCCTCAACTTACAACTATAATAGAGTTTGCCCATTACGATCATAGGTTGTGATTATTGTAAAGCAGATCACCTACATGAGTGACCAGATTCTATAAGTCTTTTTTGTGGTGATCATTAAGCAAATGTAGCAGTTGTAAAGTGAACCTATTGTTTGCTATGGGGCATTTTTACCAAAAATGTGAAGGAAATGCCGGTTCTCAGCTAAATGTCATAAAACACAGTCATGTGACTACGGGATGCTGCAAACGACCAAAAATGTGGGCCAGTTGCCAAATAGCAAAAGCATGTAGACAGTGCTTTTACAGCCCTCTCTAAGCGGTTTACAGAGTCAGCATATTGCCCCCAACAATCTGGGTTCTCATTTTACCCACCTCGGAAGGATGGAAGGCTGTGTCAACCTTGAGCCTGGTGAGATTTGAAGTGCTGAACTGCAGCTAGCAGTCAGCTGAAGCAGCCTGCAGCACTGGACTCTAACCAATGCACCAACTTGGCTCTAATCCCCCATATGTGGTAAATGACCAAGGCGGAGGCAGCCGAAAGAATGTCAGAACCATATCATAAGTACCTTGGGGGGAGGGGCTGTTCTGACATAGCTTTGAGCAGTTGCCAAGCAATAAGCAAATGATTGTAAGTCAGGGACTACCTTATTCTCAGTTCCCATTATAACACCAGTGCTGCATAATTTTAAAACATGGAATAAAATGTAATATCTGTTTAAGACTCCTCCTAGGAAATTATTACCTTATATTGAGCCTTGGTGGCGCAGCAGACTAAAGTGCTGTTAAGTAACACCGGCAATTACTGCAAGTTCAAATCTCACCAGGCTCAAGGTTTTGACTCAGCCTTCCATCCTTTCAAGGTAGGTAAAATGAGGACCCGGTTTGTGGGGGCAATAAGCTGACTTTATATAAAAAAGAACACCGCTTGGGGGGGAGGGCGAAAGCCCTACTAAAAAGTATGAAGGCTATTGCTTAATGCATTGTAAGCCTCCCTGAGTCTCTGGAGAAGGGTGGCATATAAATCGAACCAATAAATAAACAATAAATAAATATGGTGGGAGGGTTCAATTGCTTCAATGAGCATAAGAATGTTGCTCATTGTGTGAGATCCTGTAGAGTTATTCCTGCTAGTAACGTCAAAAGTGGATTTAGAAGAAGGCAAGGGCAAACACTTCCTTAGCTATTGCCAGGAAAATTGAATGAAATAGTTGCAATATTGAAATGTTATTTGGTCCCAGCTGATGAACCCCTCTCCTCTCCAGGTTGGGTGGCATTTCTCTACCCTGTTTCCCCCAAAATAAGACATCCCCTGATAATAAACCCAATTGGGCTTTTGAGCACATGGCAATAAGGCCAAGCACTTATTTCAGGGTTCAAAAAAAATATAAGACAGGGTCTCATTTTCAGGAAAGCACGGTAGTTACTTAGAAAGAGCACAGAAATTCCTCAAGTACAGTAGATCTGGAGATGGTGACAGGGCCAGAGCAAAGCTACAAAGAACTCTGATTAATGTTTGTGCCAGTATTGAAATAGATGTTCTTTGCTATATAGTGACATGCAGTCAGAACATGGAATGTGAGAATCGCCGATCAAAAAAAACTTGAAATTGTCAACGCAATAGCAAAGCAGGCACTAAAACTTAGCAAATTGCATGTCGTAGGAAAAAGTGAACTTAGATGGATCACAATGGACCAATTTAATTCAGTCTTAAATTCACAGCAGGAATTTGTGTGAACAATAAAATGGCAATGAATTTCAAAATGAGATAGCTAATTATTTTTATCTGGCTCCATTATACAAATGCATTTGTATATACATTTGCTACAACTAGAGAAGAGAAAGACCCTGAGGAATTCTGTGACACATTACAAGAGGTGTTAAGTACAAAATCAAGAAAAGTCAGCATGCTGCTAATTAATGGGAAAATGAAGGAATCTGAAACATCAAAATATCGGATTAGAGAAGTACAATAATATAGGAGATGAAAAGACTTTTAAGAAGAGAATTGTTTATTGTGAACTCCTGCTTCAAGGAACATAAATTTGAAGTCTGCACATGGACGTCAATAGTAGACTTCATCAGAATCAAATAGACTGCAGAAGATCGGAAAATACACTCTGTTCATGCAAGGACTGACTTCAGTGCAAACATTCAACATCAAGGAAGAGAGGACAAAAAAAGAAATCTCTATTAAGAATCTCTATTTCGAACTGGAAATGGAAAAAGTGTTCATTGACAAATAGCTTGCATGCTGATTGGAACACCCTAATAGACATTTAACATGAAATATAAAAAGAAAATTAGAAGTTACTTGTTTTTATATTTTCTTTCTTCTCCGTATTGGTGGAGACAGCAGCCAGGAATGGGTGCTCCGTTCAGACGAAGGACTGAGCCTGTGCAAAGTTGTTAAGTCCTGCCCTTGTTGCCAGGGTCTCCCAGCTTTCAGTCCTCAAACTGGATGGTTGTGTTGGAACTTTCTCCCTATTCTGGCTGTTGCCTCACCTTCTTTCCTTGGAAGAATTATCTTTTCTTTTAGGATTTGTGAGTAGTCTTTCTCCTTCCTTCCTTTGGATAGTTTCTTAGCGGTGGACTTTGACCTGCTGCTTAGAGCAGTTTTACCTTTAAAATTCTCCTTGGGGCTTGAGATTGTTCCCAGAGAAGAAGCTGAGTGAGGAGGCTACAGGAGCTTTGCGCTCCAAATTGGTTAAAAATTAGTGCAGGAGCTTTGCGCTCCATTTTAAGCCTCCATGGGCAGCTTCGTGCTCCGAAACTGCCCAGTGCGCATACAGGAACTTCGCGCTCCAAAAATTGTCAGCAAGTTTGCAGGAACTTCACGCTCCAGCATTAGTGTCCATGGACCATGCCTGGGGCTTGGATCTCCAACACTGATCCAGCAGGGCTTCGGGGGCTTCGACTTCCTTTAATTCATTGCCTGACTCAGGGGCTTGCTTTAGTCTACAGGGGCTTCGTGCTCCATTTCAAACAGATTTAAGGAGCTGCGGTGTAAATGGAGGGTGGCCATTTTGGAGATCCATTTTTTGAGGCCAACATTGTGAGCCACGTGGATTGTGAGCGCCTGCGGGCCTCATTCTAGCATAGGAGCTTCGTGCTCCCTGAAAGCAATTGGAGGCTGTTTGGGGTGTTTTTACTTGCCCAACATGGTGGCTTGAATTGTTGCTCTGAATTTCAGCATTATTGGTCTGCTAGGCATATATGCCCTATTATTCTGAGCCCACATACTGTGAGCTTGCATGAATCATTGTCTGTGTCTGAGACTTCCTGTTCAAGCACAGCTGTGCAGGAGCCTCGCGCTCCATTATTGGCCTTTATCGCAGCACGCTCTGATGACCTGAATCAAGAGCTTTGAGCTCTATTTTCCATTACCCTTACAAGTCTGTGTGGCAGCCATTTTAAAAACGGAGCAGCTTAAGATATCAGCCTTCTTACATCCTGCGGGTTCTTGTAATTTCTGAGTTTGGTTTGTCTTTGAATTTCTAGAGATTCCTTCTGGGAATCCAAGTCCATGGCGGCAGTGGT